CTGTGTAAGGGCTTATGGGGAATTATCATGTGAATTGATAACAACCAGTGGTGTCCATCAAGGATGTCCACTTTCCCCTTTTCTGTTTAACTTCATCATAGATATGCTAATGGAAGTATCCTTAACTGAACTTAACGACTTAGGAATCGACTTGTTACCAGGGAATGGTCTTATAGACTTAGAATACGCAGACGACATAGTCCTGTTAGGGGAGGACGCTGACAAAATGCAGAGTCTTCTGAACACCTTGAGCAGCAATCTTCGTATGTTTGGCATGCGATTCGCCCCTGTAAAATGTAAGATGCTGCTACAGGACTGGACTACGTCAACTCCTAGCTTTGTGATAGGGAGTGAAGTGATAGAACATGTTGACCACTTCACCTATTTGGGAAGTTGTATCAGCACCAACGGATTGATTGGTGACGAAATTTCATCACGGATCCAGAAAGCTCGGGCTGCTTTCGCTAACTTACACCGTCTCTGACGTAGGCGTGACATCCGACTGTCAACCAAGGGACGTGTATACTGCTCAGCAGTTCGCTCCGTCCTTCTCTGTGGCGGTGAGACGTGGCCATTGAGAGCGGAAGACATGAAGAGATTGTCTTTTTTTGACCACAGATGTTTACGATCTCTTTCTCGCGTTAGGTGGTATAATAAAGTAAGTAATGTTGACGTTAGGCGTAGAGTGTTGGGCAAAGAGGGAAAATCACTCGAAGAGGCTATGAAGTTACATAGATTGAGATGGTTAGGCCACGTGCTGCGCATGCCTGACCATCGTCTCCCCCGACGGGCATTACTAGCTGATATAGGTGCAGGCTGGAAAAGAGTAAGTGGTGGCCAAACAAAAACATGGCATCAATCCATGAAATCCCTGACAGCTAAACTGGGTCAGGTAGGGAGATGCAGACTTCCGGGTTGGGGCCCTCGGGACTCTAAGAATCAATGACTGGAGACAATAGGTGACATGGCTCAAAATCGTTGTCAATGGCGCAGATGTATTCAGTCTCTTTAACCTTCATACTCCTTTCTACCATTACTCATTCTGTTTCAATCTTATACTTATCTAAATTCTATTGATTCTCTTCTCTCCTTTTCCTGTCTACCTTTGTGTGCTATTTGGAACGTGGCAACTCGAACTGCTGCACTTCGGTGCCAAGTTCTATGTTGAATCCAGCAGCAGCAAACAAATTAAAACATCTTAACGTCCTCAGAAGACTTTGCGTTCTGTCAGAGTCTTCACCTCGGAGCAGGACTATATCATCCTCATATTCCAAGTCAACGAGGTTATACCCTGGTAACAAGTCAATCCCTGAGTCGGTGAAGTCAGTTAGGGTTAAGTCCATTAGTAGTACATCTATGATGAAATTAAAGAGAAATGAGGACAGTGGGCCTCCCTGACGGACAGCACTGGTTGTCATCACAGTTGTCAGATGACAACTCTCCGTAGGCTCTCATCTGATTGACTGCATATGTTCGAGTAGAGTGAGTGCCTTGATCAGTGAAATGTGTTTCCTCGGCATTCCCTTCACAGCCAAACATCACCATAGTACATCTCGGTCGATAGAATCGAATGATGCTTCCCAGGTCAATAAATATGACGATTGTTAGTCGCCGGTAAGTATGCCTATGTTTCAGAATCTGTTGAAGGGTGAAGATATGATTAATACCCTCTCTTCCTGGTGTAAAGCCTGCCGCCTGGTTCTCTCGTGTTTGTTGCTCCCTTGGACCACTTAGTCTACGCATGATTATTGATCCTGGAACTTAAGATACCGTGTTGGTCAAGCTAATCTTCCTGTGGTTATCACAGGAAGACTTGTCTCCCTTCTTGTATATCGGGTATGATCAGTGACTTACACCAACCTGACGGAATTTTCACTGATTCTCAGACACTGCCTAATATCTTCGTTAACGCAGACAGTGAACTGTCTCCGCCTTCCTTGAACACCTCTGGAGTGATTCCATTGGGTCCCGCTGCTTTGCCTCGTTTCAGACTAGTGACAGCCTTAGTAACCTCCGCTGGGGATAGAGTACCTGTGTTTATGTCACATTCAGGGAGGTGTTGGATACTAGGTGGGTTGAGCGTGGTTGTAGACCAACCAAATTGCTCATCAAAATGTTCTATCCAACGTTCTAGTCTTGTATCCTGGGAGCTAATTATTGTGCCATTCTTCTCGGAGATTGTCTCACTTATCATTTGACTTTTGCCACCTGTTTTCATAATAAGACCAGATGGTTGTCTGGTGTTATCTATCGCCGATACCTTTTCCATCTCTTTCGCCTTTTGTCACCCACCACTTTTCACGGTCGTAACGAAGACTTCTTGTTAGTTTGAGTTTGAGTAGCTTTCGCTCCTCATCATAGTCGGAGCTCGCCGTAATAGGTCTTCTTGCTTTTATCACTTTGGATGAGGTAGCAGACTTTTGGTTATAAACAATCTTTACAGCTGTGTCTACAGCTAACTTCCTGTTGTGCCGGGCTTCCTCAGGAGTAGTCTTGCTGTTGACCCCAGGTACTCTTTTCGTTATTTCTTCTTTAAATAGGGACTCAGTGTGGTGGTCTAGTTGGGGATCTAACTAGTTTACTGCCCACTTTTTTTGTACTTTCAGTCGTAAACATAAACGTGTGCGAATCAGGGCGTTATTAGACTCTACTCACGTTTCCCATAAGGAGCAGCAACTTCTACTGAACTTCGTCAACGATACCCTTTAGCTGTATGGTCTATTTGAGTTCATCTGATGTTTGAGGTCTTTAAGGTTACTCAAATTTCAGAAAAAAATAGAGGATACGGTACAAATGTGTCATGATACCGTGAGATCATATGGAAGTGAAGTGGAGTTTACAAATCGTTAAGTGGAGAATCAATAATCCACTACTGTCATGTAGACAGTAACCACAAATACACTAAAGGTGTGGCTATCATAATGTTTTCAAATGCATGGAAGTCTCCCGCGCCTTAAGGGTTAAATGCCTCTGATGATCACAACATCAAGATTTAACTCAAAAGGAAGGCAGGTGACAATTATGCAATGCCACACCTACAGGCAGCGCAGACCAGTGGGCTTCTACAGAAAACTGTGAACAATAAGTGACAAGATTTCGGTCAGATGGCGACATGAAAAGCAGATAAACTTCATCTAAATCTGAAGAAAGCGGAAACAGCTTATTCGATACAAGATGAAGAAGTGCTGCAGACATAGGTTAGGTCACCCACTGTCTAGTGGGATGAAGCCTTGAATATTAAGTCGGAAGCCTTCAAATAAACTACAGACAATCTCTATACCTCAAGCCCAACACTAAGAAACTGATGAACAGAGCTACAAAGGTCACTTTCACTTAGGTCATCAGGGGAAAGTAGAAAGCGTTAAGCAACATCACCAACGAAATTTGCTTGGAAGGACATCGGAATTACTGGAAATCGACTTGGAAGAAAACCTTTATAGATATCTTAGGCAAGAAGAAGGAGGCTCACCATGAACACACGGAAAGTGATAGAAGAGAGCAGAATGGTGAGTTAAAATATAAATCAGTTCAGAGATGAAACCCACCCGATAGCTGCTACCCTGTTGTCGGGCTTGCATATCGCAATGAACCAATAAGCTGCACTGGCTGGAACTAGTGTCCCTGAAGGACTTTCCATTCCAAAGACGTTGTATGGATGGCAATTAAACCAGAAGCAATTACCATTATAGTGCCAGTTGGCTGCATTATGTTGGGGGTTGTGGGCGAAGTCGTACTTCTGGGGAATAGGGATTTAAAAGTAGTAAGATTTTTCACTTAGGTGAATAGCATACCAGCTATGCTGCATTTCTGCTATGGAAAGGAGGAGTTTGAAAAGGCCATCTTCGAAAGTGTACAACCCAAATTACCTTGTGGTGAAGGTTGGCGGATCTCCATTGTAATGCATGTTCTAGCTACCTTAATCGATGATTCAACACAAATCATTCGAATGATTCTTATCCCGTTCTTATCTAATATTCCTCAGCCAACCTCACTACTGTTTACACTTTGTCTCTACCCGATGTGATAAACGGAAAGAAAACATTACGTAATAATATGAATATTTTGATGATTGAGTTGTACTCAGGATACACACAGGAACAAAGTAGAGAATACGAAATCATGTAAGAGTTCTATATGAATACAAGAATTATAAGCAATTAAAGAAACAGGCAAATAAACAAAATTATGTCATCAAAAATCAACAAAGTTGATACCGTAATAATAGAAGTGGTTGCGTAATTCTCTTTTGTATGTACAGCTCCAGTTTTTCTATGTGAATGGCCAGAGCTTCAGCTATACAAAGAAGACGAAACTGTATTACCTTTGGCAGGTGGAGGCGTTTGTTGAAATGGAATGATCGGTGTTAACAAGGTGTTCAATTATCACACTCCTTATAGCACCACTATTGCTGGATAGTGTTCTTAAATCCTCTTGACCATTCACATAGAAAAACCGGAGTTGTGCATACAAAAGAGAATTACTCAACCACTTCTATTATTACGGTATCAACTTTGTTGATTTTTGATGACATAATTTTGTTTATTTGCCTGTTTCTTTAATTGCTTACGTGATTTCGTATTCTCTGCTTTGTTCCTATGTGTATCCTGAGTACTACTCAATCACCAAAATATTCATATTATTACGTAATTCCTTTTTAACAACTGTTTGTGACAACTCATCACCTTTGACACTACACTAGTTTCATTAAGTTATATATGTCCAAACCAAGTTCACCTTTAACAGTTTCATTAACACCCAATTCTCTTGACCGTTTTTGTATTACGTAACTCCACCCAAAACCTACTAATTTTCACCTGTTTAGTTATAATAACCACAACCATTTGTATATTTGTTTGACAAACTTAATGTACACATGCAAACAAAATAACTCATATATATTTGCTATTGTACAGCTAAGAAAATGAATTCGCCTAAAAGAAACTCTTCTCTGAACTACGGGTTTTGTTTTCATTAATGCCTGGATGGGGATTATTCGTGTAGTAAACTAATATGACGGAACTATTTTGGGTTGCAACACAATAACTGATTTTTTAGTTAACCTAATCATTGATTCGTCACCACTATCTCTAAATTCTTCTGAAGTAAAAACGTCGGATCCCTCCACTTTGCTGGGTTTTAATTTAGACAGGGCTTTTACAACTTTGTTTACATTTCAGGGAGCGCTCTCTGCATCTCTTTTATGGGTGAGGTTAAATAGCAGGCAGCCGAAGACCATTTTAAGTATTCATCAAAGCGTTCCATCCAACTTATCAGCTGTCTCTTCTGAGAAGCTACCAGAGTTAAGTTCCATCTAGTGATTATTTCACTTACTATAAAATTTGAGGATCAGTTTTCACCATAAGCCTTAAGGGACAACGTGTTTTACCCAGGACTAATGCCACTTTTCTATTTCTTGCTATTTCTTTGCACACCAATATTTCCATAGTGGTATTGTGTTCCAAAACCTTATGAAGTAGTTTTCCATTATTCTTTCATTTAGTGAGATTGAGTATACATTGCGAATCGTCTTACAGTGAATGCATGTTGAAGAAACACTGAGACATGGAGACAATCTTATCTTCGTGTATTTTTTTAAAGATTTAGTTTTAAGAAACCACTTACAGGAGTAAAGGAAGAATGTTACATTTTTTATACGTTTGTTAATTTTATCTGTCAGATTATTTTAAGGCATCACAGATGGTATGTCCCAATTTTCTCATATTTCTAAATTTGACAGTGACCAGTTTAAATACTTTTGCATTTATGTAATATTTGCATAGACTACTTATAAATGGATATAGTAGTTGGTAGTTTTAATTTACTATTTTCTTTTTTAAAAAAGTGTCCTTTTCAGGGTAAAGAAGTTTCCACACATCCGGTACTTTGCAAACAAAATTTTACAGTATCATGCAAATGTATGTTTGTGCCACTGAAGACTATTTGTTATGCTTCTCGTACAAATGAATCCCATTCACGATCTTTATCTCTACGATCACGACGATGTCTGTCACGTTGTGATTTTGTACTGGGATTACGTTCTTCAACAAATACAGTACGAATTTCACGTCCGCTTGCTTGAGCTAATATCCATTGTTCCATATTTGTATTAAGCTGCACAACCTTGATAAGAAAATTAGAGAAAAATCGAAAATTATTAGAAAAATGACATTTTGAGAGTGAAATAATTGGTAAAGTTACATAATGTTAGACTACTCAACCACGTGAAATAATGAATTAATATAAAAGCTGACGAAAACATACACTTTTCTTCAATTTTGAAATCTCACTCAAGAACATGACTATAACATTAGTAAAAATTGTACTGAAAAATTTACCAGTTCATAGCAATTTTACCAAAAGGAACTGGTTTCAAAACTCTCTAAATCTTCAATAATTTCTTTAGCTTGCTATGACAATTCGAAGTTTGGTACATGTATGTAAGATTTAAATGGTCACAGTACTTTGTCCCGCAGAGAAATAAATTCAGAAGTAGTAATACGGCTTCTATAATGCCACTTTTCAGTTTTCTAATAATATGAACAGAAAGGGAATTTTTGCAGCGTGTGACCTTTTTAAAAGTCAGTTTCCCGGCATCTTGATCAGTTGAGCCGACTAGTATGCTTAGTGCAACTAGGGTAAGATTTCATGTTTTAGTGATATCTTCAAGTGGCTTATTTGATTTCACTCTATCCAACATAACACGAAGAAGTTAGTCATGAAACAACAGACACAACTTGACACTTCATACAAAACCCTGTTGGTTTGAATATGGCAATGTGTGCAAAGCACATTTCGTAGTCTCCTTAGTTGAAATAAGATAAAACTCTCATAAACACAACTCTCTGATATGCTTAATTATTCCCGAATGTTTCACCTTTTTGCGGTCATGTTGTATAAGTAACGTTGGAAAAGTAACTCCGGTTGTCCTATCGTCTAACTTCAAATGTAACACAAACTTTGAATACAGTTCTACATAATTTGAAAGTGAATTAGGACTATGTCACTCCCTTCTAATAAATCCGATTGCAAATGTAAATATCACCTATGAGACATACGTAAAGTCACCTAGTTCCAAGTCCATACTAAGTGAAATACCTAATAGTGAAAACTTCCTCGACAGACTACACCTTAGTGACAGGAACTTGTTATTATTTTTTGACAAATGTCAGATCACTGTGTACTCGATCCCTATTTGTTGTTATTTTTTCGACGTGATCAATCGTAAGAATATATTTTAAAGAGTTTGTTCGTAGGTATTTGATTTATTACGAGTTTGATCACGGACTGATTTCAGTTACAGAACTATTAAAAACCAGGGAGTACTGGATAGCTGTTTCGTCCTGCAAAACAAACTCTTGAAAATTAATCTTATGCTTACTAGCTACTGGTTGTAAGACGAAATTACCTGTAGTTCTAGTGAGAAGTAGGGACCAGTGAGATCCATCCAGTCAAGTGTGAGGATGGATGTCCCACCGATGACACTGGCTGGTAGTCGCGCTAAAAAATCACGAATTGGTAGAAGTTAGAATTCATGGGCCAAATGGTCTGCGAGGTCACATTGTAACCAGAAGGTCGTGGGTTCAAACCTTAGTTGGTGTGTGATGGTGATGAGTTTCAAAATAGGGAAAAATAATTGTCCCTGGTTCTCAATGATTCTCTAACTGATATCACTGCGTGTTCACACTTGAAGTAAAGTTATATATTGCGTTTAGGAATTGTTTTTTTCTTTATACTGTTGATAATTTATCATTGATAAAATATAGTAAAATTCCTGCAAACTAACACTTGATGATAAAATATTAGTCGAGAAAGTTATCAATATGGTTTAGACGAGGATGCATGTTATCTGTGGATAGATTGAAAGCATATGCTTCTTGAACTGGACATTGAATTTCTAGCTCCTTATGATACTGATAAATGTTTCTACCACTAAACTCGTGCAGTATGGACTGTATTCAGCTGATAATTCTTAACCTAATATATATATATATACTTAAAAAAAGCAATAACTTGAATATAAATGGACCCACTTGATCTTGCATCTGTGACACAGCCTTGACGATGCTAGATAAAGCTTTCTGACTTTCACCAATCAGTTGACGCACATGAGATATTTCCTCTTTAATCCTTGCATTACCAGATGCGTGGTTCAATTGGTCCGACTGAGCCTGTCGAAAAAGGAAAGAGAAATTTGTTTGCCTTTATTATCCAGTATTTATTATTTTGTAATTAATTGTTCCGTGAGTATTGGCGTGCTGTCAAGCTATCCATTACGCTTGAACTAGAATTTAAACACATATATTCTGCTGTATTTGAATAACTTGGCTACATGCCTTCTACCCAGTTATTTCACCAGAAGGCTAGTTCTCTTATATATTTTTCGATGAAGTGGAATGTCAGTCACTACTTTTAACTTTACAGGCTCCTTGTTCGACTGACAGTTGCGAAAGTAAGTCTTAGCTAATACTTAGTTGCGTTCCCATCAGATTATTTAGCACTTTATCTTTATAATGTGCAGCCGATACAAACATGACACCAGTCAAATTCTTTCATTTTTAAATAGTAGGATTAATATGAGTATGATAATTTAATTCTATGTGTATCCATAAATAATAAATTCATCACTGTTAATCTTAAAATTTTACAAGTAAATCATTCTTATCCATTGAACAAAGGTATCTTCATAGTTATCATTATCCTCTGCCTCCAACAGTTACAAAGTGCCAGAAATCAATGAATATTTAGTAGTTAAGGACAGACGAATGTGATATTGTATCAGTATCTGCCAATTGCTATTGCTCCAGTGAACTAAACCTGTTTTTACAGAAGGAAAAAGATGGTCAGCGGGAAAGAAATTTGAGGAAGTGATTGTGAAAGCAGGAGGCAAGTGTGAAAGCTGAGCGTCAGTATCCAGTGGTGTCAATCAAGATGTGTTGCAACTTTTATTACTGTTAATAAAGTTATTTTTAGTCATCAAGTCTGTTTTCATACTTTGCTATAGAATATTTTTTGAATAATCACATTCTTGTTGTTGAAGTTGTATATTACCAGAACTTGGATAGCCTGTTAGGATAGGATACATGTTACAGTTGTTGTTTTTCGTCAGAATACCAAGTATGTCTACTCCTCCCGAAGGGTGAGTAATCAAGTCAGTACGTACTTGTCAGATGGTACGGAATTAACTGTTTTCATTTTATTAGCTTCAGAGGACATCTTTCGGTCAGATACCCGTAATACCGACTGTAAGGCAGCCTATACTGGCATAGCAATTTCGGATGCAGATGAACTTAGAGGTTATTTATTCTCTTGAGGGGTATTTCGCGTACTCAGGACAAGATAATTCCTTGTTGACTGCTTACGGGCTGTCACCAGATTTCAAGTTCTTAACTTTCCGTCTCGATTTTGGTGACACTTCTTAGGATATTTAAAAATAATCTAGTTATTTCATTTGTTGGATATTCAGAGAACCATGCTCACTCGAAAATTTTAAATATCCTATATTTTTAAAGTGTAGTCAGTGGTAAATTTTACGTGCCCGTTAGACTCGAATACACAGTATAAATATTCCTTTCTTTCATTGGTCACTGAGGAATTACCATTGTTATGTTGTCTAATCCTTAGTGTGCAGTGGAATCTGTCAGTCAAATATATTATGTAGTCAGAAGGCTGAAAACCTGACCACAATTGTGCACTTTGAATTCATCCTGTATGGTTGATGACAGTGAACTCCAGTTGCGGAGAAAACAAAACATGTAGCTGCAGGACAAAGACGTATTTTCTTACTTCATTTATTTTGGGAGTAATAATTTTGAAGAGCTTTATTTAGTTTGTAGTGCTTCGCTGCGCAACAGACTGTACTGATCGCTGTTGGAGGTTGTTAAATTGTATGATTTCCGAATTAGTTGGCATATGGTATTAGTGTCGTTTACACTTTTAAATATAATAAAATCACGCTGATTAGAGTAAATAAGTGCATACGTCTAAGCTGAGAAAGAAAACTGTTACAGTTATGGTGTGGTGAGAGCTGGCTGCTAGCCAAAGTTGGTAGACAGTAATTGACGTCAGTGTCTATGTCCCCAATATTGGTGGTGAGAAAATGAGAACAAAGGCTTTGCGTAGGCAGATACAGTTAGCATATGGATGATCTGACACAGCCACAAAGAGATGCAAGGTTAACTTTCTGTGAGAAACAACCAATCAAAATACTGTATTTTCTACTAACAATAATCTACAATAATGTACATTAAAATCTATAAATATGTGTTGATTTTCCTTAATAAACGATCTGTTGCCTGGTCCTTGTCTTCTGTTATTACAATAGGACACAGAAAATTCTGTACAAGAGATTCAACGAATGAACAGCTGAAAAATACTCAGGGAAGTGTACGCTGAAAACGGTTATCCCTCTTGGTTTATGGTGAGAAACATGAATAACACCACCAATAAATCCCTACTATCCTAAACTGGACAACATTTATAAATACTGGAATTATTAAAAAGACGGTTGCAACGAAGAAAATTTTCTTTTCAACGAACTGAGAAAGTTCCAGAGTTGTTTCCAGTCAGAGGTCTGATTAATAAAATTACTAAGTGTAATAAACAGAAGATAGGTAGTGTTACTATTCTAGAAATATTTCAGGTCAAAGGTCAAATTAAAAATTCCAATGTGTAATAATCAGGATGATCGGGTAGAAAAGACAAAGTAGGATTATAATTACTGGAAAACTCGTCAGTTTGTATAATTACGGATTAAGGACGTAGTATTAACGAAATGGGTAGGAGGTTCGGACATATAAAAATAAAAACAATAATCAAATCTAATAATGTAGATAAGGATTTAGAAAGGTAAATAAATCAAATAAACGGGAAGGTTGGACAAGACAGGTAATAGGATAATCATTATTGATGGGACTGACTTTTCATGATGACCACGGTAGGGACAACGGTTGGACATAGAGTAGGCTTGAGTTTTTGGGTCGTCAGTGCCTCAGCTATTCCTAGATGTCTTGATTTCACTCCCTTTGATAGGTTTGATTGGGTCTTGTATATGGCTTTGAAGGACTTTTCAAATGGGACTGAATTTCCAGAATTCAACAGATGTCCTGTTATCCAACGCAATATCAGGAACACTTCACAATTAACTCTGTTTTTCAACAAACTTTAGGGTGGTTCATCTAGTCTAAAAAGGATACGGGTCATCATTTTTGCGTGTTTGATAGTTCATCTGCGCGCCTGCAACTGGTTGTATGTTCTGCACGAACACTGTTTTATCGAAATACACTCCTGAGTACTTTTTTTTAGCCTTAGACAACATTTTAAGTTGTTCAACAGCTCTGTTTTTAATCATTTGATTCCGTTAACTATATTTTTTTACTACTCATCAAATTATTGCACTATCACCTCTGAATCCCAGATACATTTTACTACTGTGATGGTGTGATACAGACAATGTGTTCGAATGCAATATTATTCTCACATATTCCCACATTTCGATACTGTATTAGCAACAGAATACTATATAGGTATTTGAACATTCTATTTCATGTTGTTTAATGTAAACCAAAATCACACGCTCAGTGATTGGTTAAGGAATAAAAACTATATAGGTATAAATAGCGCTTTGATCGATTGGAAATATACGTTTGCTCCCGTGTCTTGCCTTCTGCTGTTCCACCACTACATTATAAAAATGTATTTTTTAAAACTAATAATTTACTCTGTTTTACTAGCATATTTCCAAATTGTGCCTATAAATACTAATGTAGCACTTCCTACTATGATTGATACAAAAAAAGAAAATTCCCTTCACCAGGATGTTGTTCGTTAATTTTCGCATGTTTCTTAATAAACCCAAGGCTTCTTATATCGAAATGAGTGAATAAATCGAGTTAGGCAGAAGAAGTCAGTTAATTTTATAACATAAACTGAAGAAAGTAAATCTTTCTATCACATCAATCTACCTGAAGATTTTGTAGACGCATATCTAATATCTTCTGCATACGCTGTATTCCATCCAACTGAGGTAGTTGTAGATTAATTCCACCCAGCATACTACCAGCTCCTAACGCCGTATTGCCTATGGAGGTTGAATATCTTCGTCCTGAACCATAGGTTGGTCGCTTTAATCGTTTACCAGTTTGTTGATTAGGATTTATTGTTTGTGCACCACCTTGTACACTTAGCTGATAAGGATTTTGTGAGTGTTCATAGTTCACTCTAACGCCAGCTGCTGTCACTGGTGGTGGCGGAAACTCATCTGCGTCTAAAATGGAGAAAAATAGCAACGAAGATTCTATAAAAATGAAATAATAAATTTTGCATGTATCATCTGATAAAATTCAAGGCAGAAGGAGACTGAAAGGTATTTGCAACTATTAGTTTATTTGCTTTTAAAGACTAATCAGTGTCATCTGTGGAGTGTATATATAATATACAACTGGCCAGTACATTAACAACGTTGGCATTGAGAATACTTTTGAAACTCTGCCGCACTCTGTTATGAATTTGACTGCACATGAGATTCTCTTCCACATTTTAACGAGTAGTTTTGTTGTGAATGGTCTAATTGTTTAGGTGTAGTTCTCACTAATTTCATATATCAACTATGAATGTAGCTCACTAGTTAATATGCTTAAGAAATTAGTTAGCATGCAATTTTCATCGGCACATGGATAATGTATAGTTGAGACAGATATGATTAGCGGCTTAGATACTCTTTGTTATTGCGGAGAGCAAAATTAATAATTTAAGTGACAAACACTGTATGTAATTATTCCGTGAGTGTCAACTTGCTTTTGTTTGTCACTTCTAAAGGAATTATAATGACTACTATTCTGAGATGACTTACTGATGAAAATAAGCACAGAACATTAAGATTATGGAGCGTGTTTGTAGCTCAGGTGGACGCTTTTGGTGCTGTGTTCTCTGAGCTGGATAATTTAATTCTAAAGCCTATTTATTCCTTCTCTATTACATTCTCAGCGATGACCTCATTATGAGAAGCTTTAACTGTTCGCCCACAAAACAGCTGGATGACAATTTCAATTTGAAATTAGCACTGGAGATGTCCAGATAGACAATTAAAACTATGCAACTATACTACCAAGCTCAGAGAACGCTACCAAACCAAAATTTGAATACTCTATGTATTTACATTCCTACTATTTACGTACTGTAGTAAATAGTAGGAATTTAAAATTACCATAATTCGGCCTGTGTTGTCGAATACACTTGTATATCTACTCACCTACTTTCTTGTTTATAGATCAGTTCCATGTGTTGAAAGTAGCTAACACGGTTCACTCAATTAAGCTACATTGTGATTTTCATTCTTAAGGTTATTTCATACAGAGGTTACTACTGCTTAGTAGCCTCCCATATTGGTGAGTTTTATCATGATTTCTTATTCACTTATCTTTCTCAGACAGGCATCTACCATTTTCATCTATGGGACTTATTTTAGACTTATGAATTTTTGTAATTTGAGGTTGTAATTTACAAGAATCTGAAGCTGAATTATCGTTGCTGTGGTAATAATCCATTCGATCTAATGTCGACTTTCTTAATACCTTTTTTTTTTATTTACAGCTTGATTCCACACCGTATTTTCAGTACAAGTATGGAATTTTCAGCATGGATATCGGTAGCCCAAATTCAGGGCGACCATAGATTTTATTTCCTCTGTCACGGTCACTTGTGTGAAATAGTGAGTTTAATGCAAGAGTGGAATTCGAACACTAAGGTGGAACATAGTTTTACTTTTATATAAACCCAAAGTGATACAGTATTATTTACTGATGAATACATGATGCTGTATCTCTGTGTTTTTTTATCAAATAAAATTATTCTGTGATGGAATCAAAGCGGAGGGAAGTAAAATCGTGTAAAGTGAGTGAATAAGTCATCAAGTTATTAATTCTGTATCACTGCGTGCTATATCAGATAAACTTGTCTAATATGGTATGTGTACATTTGGATATTGTACACCAAGGAGTAGAAAAGAAATCAGGATGATATCTAGAGAACAGAAAACAATCTAAAAAGACTGGATGGACAGATCCAGAAACTGGAACGCACTTCACTGTTAGGTTATGAGTTATATTCAAAGACAAAAATATTTTCAAGTATTGGTTTTATAGGGATTTTGTTTGATTAAATGGAGGATTTCATCATGAGCTGACATCAGTTAGAGAACCACTGGAAAACCTGGGAGTACTGGACAGCTGTTTCGTCGTGGTTTGGAGCTCTTCGGCAGTACGCACCTCCGGGGTTCGAACCCAGGACCTTCTGGTTACAAGGCCAGCTCGTAGACCACTGAGTTGGTCTGCCATTGAACTGGCGGAAGTTAGAATTCATGGACTGGCCATTGGATTGGGTCCCAGTGGCTCAATGGTCTACGAGCTCGCCTTGTAACCAGAAGGTCCTGGGTTCGAACCCCGGTGGATGCGTACTGTTGAAGAATCACAACCTAGGACGAAACAGCTGTCCAGTACTCCCAGGTTTTCCAGTGGTTCTCTAACAAAAACATTCGACAGAAAAAGAAAAATATACACAAATACGAACAGACAAAGCACTTAAAGCATCACTTTTAATCACTTTACACATTACACTAAGTCTGTAAAGTTTCTAGGTACAGCACTTTTCGACTAATGAACTTTTTGTTCAGGTCAATTTGTCTAATTCTTGTTTAGCTACACTCCATCAGGATGCCTCTCCTTAGAGATATTTACTAAAATATTTCACCAGTGTAATATTACTTAATGTGCTTATCTCGCAAGGAAAAGATAGCGAACTTCATTTTGTCTGTCAACTTCCTACACTGTCAACGACAAGACTTGCGACTGACTATTTTTTAGAAACACTGTGCTCAGTAGGTTTTCTTTGACTCAGCTAACTGACACTTTTACTGATAGGTATTTTAATTCTTGCAAACTTTTGGCTGAAGTCGTCTTGTCGATCACTGAACATCCTCTTTATTGGCGACTTTCTTCTTGCATCTCTTCCGGTGAAACCAGAAAAAATTTCATAAGAATTTATGCTCGTACAGTAATATGTAAAAGTCCAACCATGCCGTATTTAGCACGGGTGTTGTGTGAGGAGATAAACTTCCAGAAATACCCTATAAACCTACTTGACAATTTGTAAATAAACAGCAACTTATAACCAGAATTATTATTACATATATATTGCTTTAGTATTAACTTCAGTTTTTTACGGTTTTGTTATTTTTACCATTTTATTCACCTATTTGTTGAAGAAGATAAATTGGTGCAGTATGTACAACACTGTAAATTCCATTCCGCATGATTATTGTTGTTTGAAATAAAGTGATGCCTATTATTTTCCAGTGTCATCAAAGAACACCATACACTTCCTAAATAAAATGCACCTGGGTCTCATGGTCAGCTGGTTTGAACGACCAAATATCTAGTTGGATAATAACATCAGTGTTAATTCTTGGTTTGAATGAAAGTTAGATCGTATAACTGCAGTGTCATAAATTTGTATGTTTCTGAATAAATTCAGTGTACGTCGAGATAGACATTAGTTGCATGATGGCATATACTACTGATCGATATGAGTAGTTGGGAACTATTACTATTTGTGGCGTTTAACAGACCACATGTGGTAGTCTCAATATTTTGGGTTTTCTAAGAAAACTGTTGCGCATTTTCATTGCTAATACTGATATAACTTCGCAAGTAATAGAAAGATGCATCTTAATGAAATAGAGATGACTACTCATGTTTCAAAAGTTAGACAGAAAACTTTCGAATGCAAAACTACGTGTTCATGCTCTTCTAGATTGCATGCCACTTTCCATCTGCAAGCGGTAGATTAACAAGCAAATGCCGTACTCTATAAGGAAATGCTTCAGAATGGCTCAAGTAACTGCTTAAATCTAGTATATGCAGGTTTCTAATGCTGAGGTGAAATGCAGTAGATTGAATTTCAGTCTCACTCAGTGCTATGATAATGAATGCAGCAACCATACCACAGAGCTTTTCAGAAACGTTTTTCAGTACTGCATGCTACGGAAGGGAGTTGTTTAATTTCTTTCCTTTTGCTCTGATAACTCAATTTTGGAACATCTACTCCTTTAGTGATACTAAACTATTTATTTTCAGGTCTTATAAAGACTGTGTGAGTTTTGACGTGGCATTTGCAGCAACCTCGATTTTCCGGGTTTCATTCTCCATACAATGAAGCATGAAAAGATACACAGTTTCAGTCAACAGTTTGAACTAGAGTGGCTAGAGCGTAAATCTTTTATTTGACAGTTGCTTAGGTAATAGTCTCCAGCTGCTCAGTGTATTGTATTTATGATGGCATTATGACTAATCACCACCAATGTCTCCCATTTTACAATATTTTGTAATAGATTTCAGCCTAGCACATTTGTCACACAAAAGCGACTATTTATTTTGAAAACCCATGGCTAAGCTGTTACTCTACGTAAAAGTGTATCCACCGCATAACTGGCCATTATTGTAACGACACCAAATATTATATTTTATAATTGCAAGAACCTGAAAAGAAATTATTGAAAAGAATATTCTTCCTTCCGATTGACTTTTATTTCAGATCATGACAACCAGTGGACTTTATGATACTTGACACAGTGGAACATTCTTTACTCATCTTATTAATATTCGAGTGTAAGTTTCATTAAAACCAAGGAAACAAGTTTCACCAAGTTTTGCATTCACTAAGTGTAAGAACAAAATACTTATGAGCTTATCATACTACTTAAATGCAATTATAGTAGACACGGACAAGACTTGAAAAGAAATACGAATTTGTAACTTTAGGAAGCTACACAGTTTTAGAAATGATTGCTACCATAGAGTGTCAACGATAGAAGTGAAAGACAGCAGCAACTCCTGAAGACTGCCAGTGTTTCAGATTGTCATTCGGCTGTAACAATCAATACCTACGGTCAACCTTTTGACCAAGATTATCTGAATTACTGAAATATTGGATTACCGGCAATATTAATTGAGCTCAGGTAAATTTAACACGGAAAAAGTAGAAACAGGAGATGCTAATTGCAAAATGAACTGAAATACTAGTGACAGCAAAGAGTGACATTTAACTGTGAACAAGTGAACAAGTGTTCTGGGTCAATCAGTAAAATTACTTACACATTTTATAGAAGTGGATATTACCTAATCATGTTCAAGTAAACACAGGTGTTCAAATAACTAAGCAGATTTATACCTTGGAATGAGGATAACAACAGTTTGACAATTGATGACAAATGTTCCGTCAAAAGGCATAATAAAATGATAAGCACTAACTTCACAAGAAATTTAGGAATCTAATCACTATGTCCATATGGGAACAAGACCAGTGAATCTAAGTCCTTCAGAGTATTAAAGTAGATTTCTACTAACATGTGGAATGTTTTGATTTATTTAGTCCTGTTGTATTAAAACAACACCAGATGGGCATATTTTGCTCATACAGGGGAGATTCTAGTGCTTATAACTTCTGTTATTAGAAAATGTATAAACTGCTACTGTTTGTTTCTAATAAATTGCTTCATTGTAGCCAACCATTTAGGTGTTATGTTAGTTATATCAAATTAACTAATAGATAACAGTGTCATAATTTTTCATCGGTGGTCACTTCTGAAATCATATTTGCATTAAAACGTCTTGTGCCTGGAAACTTTTAACATAAGCGCTCTTTTAGTGCCTTCTCTTGTATGTTTACCAAACTAATATGCATAATTATGTATAAGACATGAATAATAGTCCATTAGGTTTCATAGAAACTCTTATTATGCAGATGGAAAGAATTCGCTTCATCCAAACAAGACTCAGCACATCCTAATGGAAAAATACTTTAATGGTTTATATGCATGAAATACAGCGATAATTCACTGAATTCAAGTCTGGCTAAAAGGGATTACAGAAGATGAAGAACTTGAGCAGTTTATTATCAGTTTAACATAAATAACTACTGTTGGTTTAAGTCAGACAATCAGGACAGAATTATAGATACTCCACTAGGGTAGTCTATATACTTTGAGACGTGTAGGTAAAACCTTTTCTCAGTTAAATTATTGTCCTTTATTCATGTTTCTGTTTAAAAAGAAAACAAGTGGCCAGATAGTCTGAAAATACTGAAATTCTTTAATTTCTAGTATACTGGAGATTTGCATTTAACTCCAAGACATTAATTTATATCATTAGATAGAAATAAACGGTGTACTTTTCAACCGTCAAGGAGGTGGAGTTAGAGCTAACTGGCTGAACTAACTTGAAATTACAAGTATCATATTTATTGGTTCTTTTTCTCCTGAATAGCACTGACAATGTCACTCAGCAATTTTCGCTTGGTAAACTAGATGATGGAAAGGAGTTTTCAGTGGCGTTTCACTATGATGTGGTCATATCCACTCCGAACTGTGCAAACCTGCTCTAATTTCGTAGCGAAATAAGTGAGCTAGTGAGAAGCTTAATTTGTTCCACAATATAACAGCAGTGTGTTGCTTATTTTTACATGGCAACGGTAATATCACTGATAGAACTATTCGCATATGTGTGTGTATTTACGTACGTGTGCACACACGCACTTGTGTTCAGTAAGAGAATACAGAGACACCAGGAATTTTGTAATGCTTACCAGCGAATTGTACAGTTTGATTTGGATCACCATATGCATTGAATAAGGCCTCCACATTTCCCGCCATATCTTCTGCACGTAAACATGGTGTTTCTTTATATTTTTCTGCTATTTTAGAAGAAATAAATGCAGAATTAACACTTCTTTATTAGGCATTATGGGAGGGAGGATAATTCCCTCAAATCCCCTAACCAACTATTCAATGTTTTGTTATTTTATAGGTTAAATAATGCGGAATAAATATACTTGAATATTACTACAGGCAGGCTACATCAAGAATATTAGCTATTAGGTGACCATTCTCTAGATAACCACTTTCAGTCAGTAAAGTGATCTGAAAGTTTTTCCGAACGAAGCCAGAAAGTATTTCACATATCTGTCCACTTTTTGCAGATATAGAAATGACTGAGAGTGAGGTGAAATAGTGTATTCCTATAAAGACATATGAAGCACAAAGTTATTTACGCAACACCACAGGAGAAAATATGAAATAATGAAGTATCTGTGCTATCAGCCACTGACATAATGATGGTTTACATTTAAATGGCTTTTTAAAAACGGGACTAGTTTCTTCTGAGACCATCCCTGAAAGGCTTAGCTTCTTCGTAGCCATTCCTACTTTTGAGAAGTAATGGGATATGTTAGATTAGTTTTCTATGTTTCTAGTTGTTGACTATGGCAATTATATGATGAACATTGAAGGATGCAATTCGACACCAAGTTTCATGATGTCTGTGTTTATTCTGATAAATGGTTCAAGTGTTTTTTTATATCTTCTATGCAAAAATCACTTTATAATTATCGTTTTTTCACGTCCGACTTCAAGTTCGCGAGACCACTTTAGTGGTCAATATAGGAAGTAACTCGCAAAATCTAGCTGATTTTATATAAAAACCCAAGTGTTTTTTCTAAGTTGGTACTTTAAGTGATTTCTGACTTCATATTTCTTTGCTGTTTCCGTATTCATTGAAGTCATGCAGTATTGACGGTAATTTTGGTTGGAAGTTCAGGATCTACGGGTGATACGACAAAGTAGGGGAAATTCAGAATTATTTCCCCCCTCTTTATCCTCTTCATCTTCATGAAATATACTGATATGTCATAATCTTAGGTGATTTTGGATTTAACACGAAATGAAATCACAAGAGAGTATTAAAATCAGAACTAGTTTTGAAGTATCTGAACATAGGCGATAAAAACTGAGTTCCACTATTAGTCACCATGACATTCTAAGCAAAATAGGTAACCACACCAGGTTTTTTGTTCTACTTGCCTTTACACAACGCATTAAACTGAACTGGTAATTTCTCTCCATAAAACCATCTAGACAAGTTAACACTTCCATGGAAGTATTTTCTCCTTTTTAGTGGGCACATGTGATGCTTGGTAGACAACCTCTTTGAACTTATCAGCAGCACTAGTTTATGTGGATGAGAAGGTGAGACCAGACGCTTCAGACGAAACTCCATGAAGTATGGTGCGAATGGCAATATATATCGCGAAGTGATAGAAGTTAGAATTCATGGACTATCAGAATCTGTCTCACTGGATGAATGGTCCATGGTCTGCCGGTACCATGTTTGATACCTGGTAGAGTTATGGGTGCGTACTATTGAAGAGTTCCGAACTGGAATGTAACAGCTGTCCTATACTCCCCGGTTTCCCGTAGTTCTCTGACTTGATAATATTACTTCTGTTGCCGTCACTGCTGTTAATGAATTTTAATGGTTAAATGACGACTGGTAGGCATTCGTAGGATTTAAATGAACGAGCTTTTCAATTGTTTATTTCTAATATTCTTGGACATTAAGAATGCATATATATATATATATATTCCAAAGGTTGAAGGTGTTCATGTAGCCAGAGATGTTTATCAGTTCAGTGTGGTAAGTGCATTGAGATTGTTGTGCAGTGCACTTAAATGACATAGTCAACCATGTTCAGACAAAAAATGTTGCATAAATAAGTCCAAATGAAATCTGAAATTTTCCTCTTTACAGTATTTTTAATCATCTTACTGCTTTAAACTCACGATCTAGCTTGAAATCAAGTCTCTAAAAATCAACACTTGGAAATAGAATAACATATTAAGGTTATTTGGGGGTTTCAGCTGACTGATGTCAATCTGTGATCTATTTTGTATTGTAAAGTTACTGCAAATCCGTCTTTTTCGTTTACATTCCTACTTGTTTTGTTTTTCATTCAAAATATCGAGAGGCAGGCCCACTGATTTCCACCTTATCCTCAGTAATATTCTCAGAAATAATAGCATTAATACAGTTGTCAAATTCCTTTGCAAAAGCGGTATCTTCAAGATTGAGTTGACAATAATTCAATGATACATCTGATATAAGCAATGAATACTTTCAGCCTACTAAATTTAGCCCATTATTCCGCATATTTAGTTCGTTTCACGCTTTTAGAGAATAAATGAATAAATGGAGCATGAATACGATGGACTCCTGATACGGCAATTAACGCTTTGCTAACTGATGTATATAAGAAACAGTCATAAATTTCTTGACATTATGAAGGAGGAAGTATAATTTGGAAAATTCATGCATTTTTTGAATTCGATTGATGCTCACGTTTATGAAAATAGAAACCAAGAGGCTTCGCTGAATCAATGAAAAATGCACGTGTATACTTTTTAGATGGAGATGAGACATGGAAATTCTTCTTTACTAGAGATCACATTAACTACATTGTTAAGATAGACTAAAACTCTAGGTTGGTTGGCTGGTGTCGTGTTCATATTTGATATGAGAAAAAAGATATTGGCTGAATACAAAATAGCGAGTGTTTATGCTGTCTATCAGCTAATAATATCCCTTAGATTGACGATGAACACAAGACTTCAGAAGCACACCTCCATTTCACCGTGTTCTCAGGAATGTTTTATGACTGGCTTTTCGATTGCTTACAACCTTTCATTTACTCCGCACACGATCTAATACATGTCACCCTGGAACGACCAGCTCATGGTTTCTAATTTGAGCTCCACCCGAGGATCTGGTGCGTGATGTCACTCAACGATCCCCTTAGAGTATTTCCAATTCATCTCCTATTCATTCTAAATACTTATTGGGGAATAGGTACTTGGTTAGGTAGTCGCCAGATTCCCTTGTTGCTTATTCTCCTCAACAGACTATCTGATATTCAGTATTGGGCGCAAGAAGGCAGGTGTTGATAAAGGTCTTTAGCCTAACGGAAATTCTTTCTGTAATGCACACCAAGTCTCTGAACTCTATAGAAGCACTGACTTGACATCAATGTTGAAAATTCAGATCTTGTTCCTTATGTTGCGTGTGGTAGATCTCAACATTGATTGCGTGGCAGTGAATGTCTGTCCAGCTTTTTTAAACCTGAGTTTAAGGATAACAAACCGAAGTATTTATAATAATGGTAATTCCCCATGTCAGCTCCGAAAATTTCACATTCAGTTTACGAGCATATGTCAAAAAACTACCATATGATAATCAGTAAATTATGTTTTATTAAGTAATATAACCAAACTCATCATTTGGTATCCTCAAATTTATGGAGCCAATAATGTGATTCACAAGAGCAGTTAGGATTTTCGCAGTGAGTGACTTGTCCAGCCAATTATATACATATATATATATATATAAATGCTTATGTCTACTTGTAACTGCAATGGAATGTGTTGCGCCATGAAGTAGATTAAACACCTTACATTTGGTCTGATGCTCTTTCTTCCAACTACAGATGACCTGAAAAATACTTATCGCTAATTGAACGTCGCTTCTAATTTACTCCACTTCATGTCCTAGAAAAACGTTGCTTTCTACTCTAAGCCCTTTTTGAGGACAATATGAAATGTTTTGCTAATGAAAGAATGTTACGAAGACAGTGGCAGATATCTTATATTATTTCTTTCAAAGTATCACTTTTCTAAGCAATCATTCCACAAGAAATATAATTGGAGTTCGAAAAATAAATGGCACCATAGTCAAATGACCTGGAATTGACCAGTCAGAACGCTCAGCATTACAAATGCGTGCTTTTCATAATCTTCGTTGCCAGTTTCTCCCTAACCTTAATCATAACCCTACCTGAATCCTACCCTAACCTTTACCCTGAACCAGGATTATGAAAAGCATCCATTTGCGATGCCAAGTGATCTGATTGGCTGTTTCAAGGTCAGTCGACTGTGGTGTCTATCCTTTACGGTTGCCCAAAAAAGCCAAGGCAAGAACTGAAATTGTATTGCTGTAGCCAGTGAAACCTCTGTAAACGTTTTCTCCTATAAGTTATGTGATGTTGCTTTTATACATACCCTAGTTGAGATATTAAGAAATGCAGTTTTCTTGAAACCCACTTCAAAAGTGTTTCAAATTTTAATCTGCTGCTAGTAGCATTTCACTACCTTTTGTTCTTTCTAACTGCAGTTTACTTCACATTTACAACAAGCTTATTGGCTAGAAACTTTATGGGCATGATCAGCGTCAACACATTCACTGATTGTTCAATATTTTAAAGATGTTTCAAATCCGACCTGACCGCTTAACACAATTTTTATTCTTATCATTTTATTTAATGTGTCTGCCTGTCAGCAAATAAAACTATCTATTTTCTAGTGTTCTGTTCAAGGAGAATTCTTTGATAAGCGTCACAAGATCATCTTGTTTACTGTGAATGAATCAATGCTGCTTAATAGTATCATAAAGCAAGTTAGTTTTCAACTCAAAGCTGAATGGAGAACACTATTCATTTCTTACTTCAGGTAAGACCTATAAACTTGAAGTCAATTTGGTTAATGGTGACTAGCAGTGGAATATAAGATGCGCATTTCGTCCTATTCGGGACTCGTCACATGGATATACCCACAATCCCCAATGAGTGATGGTATTCCCAGAGAGGCTCGAACCCAGTGCCCATACTCTCAAACGCCAAAGCGTTATCCACTAGTCCACTTGGGCGATGACGGCCACCTCTTGTGCAACGGGTCATATTAATTATTTAATTCAATTCAGATTTTCCTGTCGATTGATAGGACCGAAGTGCTCTATCACTGTCATTGACGAGTCCCAAATAGGACGAAATGAGCATCCTGCATCCCACTGTTAGTCACCATCAACCAA